TTTAGGCGTCGCGACGGGCGACGGGGACCCGCGCGTCGCCCCCCGTCGCCCGTCGTGGCCTGCGCGCGACCCGTACAGGCAGCGCGCGGCCCGTACGGGCTGCGCCAGGCCCGCGCGGCCCGTACGGGCTGCGCCAGGCCCGCGCGCGACCCGTATGGGTGGCGCCAGGCCCGCGCGCGGCCCGTACGGACGGCGCCAGGCCCGCGCGCGGCTCGGGCCGCCTGCGTGCGGCTCGGACGTCTGTACCAGGCCCGTGGTGGGCCCGTTCCTCGCTGCCTCTGCCCTCCCCGCTGTCCCCCACTGCTTCTACTGGCGCCCCACTTCACCTACTCCCCATTCTCCTGAATTAGGGTTTGGGGGTGAGGGGTATGGGGGTGACTTCACTCTGTACCGTTCCCTGCTCCTCCTCCTCCTCCGTCTCCTTGTGCTGCAGCTGCCGCTGAGGGGGGGTGGACGTGTTGGAGCCGGTGGAGTGGTACTAAGGGGGGGTGAAGGGGGAGTGGAGCTAGCGGTGTAGCAGCAGGTGTGTGCCAGGGGGAGTGGGATAGTTTGGGGGAAGCTGAATGGAGGTTGCCGTCGTGTCGCCAGCAGCACCTGTAGTCCGGGGAGTTGCTCCGGTAGCCCAGTCGTAGCCAGCTGTGCTAGCCGTCCGTGGGTCCGTTGCTCGTCTGCCGCTGCTTTAGCCGCGGGGCCAGTTACTCCAGTATTCCGGAGCGTTGTTCCGGTAGCCGCTGTGCCACTGTGCCTCCTTTTGCCCGTGTGTCTGCAGCTTCATCCGTCGCCTCCTATCTCCTCTCCTCTGACTCTCTCTCCTCCTCCTCACTTGCCCGTTGTGACTACCACTAGCTTTGCTCATAATTGTGAACTTTAAACTATTGCTTCTTGAACTTGTGCTCAGAATGTGTGGTGACATTGTGATCCACCCTGAGCTTGTACTGCTTTGCTTGCTCTGCTGATTACACCCCACTTTGGCTATGGGGGTGTGTCAGAATGTTATCTTATGCTCTAGCCTATAGTGGGGTGCTCTATAGCGAGTACAACCCTTCTAGGGTTTGCTATTTGTATCCTCATTCTTGCTAGTGCAATCCTCTTCTCTCTTCTAAACTTTCACAGCACTGACTACAGCGCCAGTACTCATCCTACTGGACCCAGACAAGGATTACGTGGTGGAAGAAGACGCTAGTGACCAGGTAGTCAGAGCAACACTGATGCAGGATCACGGACGCAGTTTGCAGCCTATCGCCTACCTCAGTAAGAATTACACGGAGCAGAACTGAACTACCCCATCCATGACAAGGAAGCCTTAGCGATAGTCATAGCCTTCAAGGCGTGGAGGTGTTACCTAGAGGGAGCCAAGACTACAGTCTATACTGACCACTGCAGCCTCAATTACCTGAAGTCACAGCCGACACTCTCACGACGACAGGTGCGGTGGGTGGACTTCCTGGAAACTCACTTCCACTACGACATCGTCTACAAGCCCAGGCTACACAACAAGGTAGACGCTTTGAGCCGCCTCAGACATGTAGCATGCATCCAGCTCGACGGGATGAACCATGTGCTCAAGGGTCCATTCCAACATGGGTGCTCCGTGGACGCAGAGATCGCTGCAGCACAGACTAAGAAGTTGTTACGGTGGGAAAAAGACTTAGCTGTAAGGAAGGGCACAGGAAAGATTTGGGTACTGAACTATGCCCTGCTACGGTAGATCCTACTGGAGGAGTTTCACGACGTACCAGATGCGGGACATTTCGGGAGCAACAATACGTTAGCAGGGATTGCAAAGTAGTACTACTAGCCCGGGATGGTAGCAGACGTGCAGCAGTTCGTCACCTCATGCAACACGTGCCAACGGATGAAAAGTAGCAAGCAGAAAAAAACAGGGTTAATTCGGCCTCTACCCGTACCGAAGCAGCCATGGCAAGTTAATAGTCTCGACTTCATCACGGGAATTCCTTCGACCTCACGAGGGCATGACGCTATAGTCGTGGTGATCGCCAGGTCCTCAAAATGGGTCACTTCATTCTGACTAACGCCACAGCTACAGTTGAAGAAAACTGCTCGCCTCTTCTTCGACCGCATCATCACCATCCAAGGCATCGCCGCTACACTCATCTCAGACAGAGACCCAAAATTCACCAGTAAGTTTTGGCGGGAACTCATGGGACTGTTGGGGACAAAGCATGCAATGTTATCAACATACCACCCTCGGACTGACGGAAAGATAGAGCGACTCAATCAGGTGGTTGAACAGATGCTGCGCACGGATTGCAAAGACAATGTCAGCCACTGGAATAAACAGTTACCGATACTTGAGTGTTGGTGCAATCCCACGGTTTGCACTCGACTTCTTGTCCGTGTGCGTGCATGTGTGTGTGCATGGAATGGTATGAGGGCATGGGATGATATATATTTCATGCTTATAATGGTGTGTGAATGTTGAGTCATGATGTCGAATGTGTGTGTCGAGTCAATAGCGAGTTATCGCTAGTCGCGTGTCACGCGGTCGTTTGTTTCCCGTGTGCGGCTTCTATTTTGTCGCATGTGGAACGTTCGGCGTGTCGCAGGTGTGTGCAGCAGACCCATCAAGAACTCAAGGATGAGTTTGTGGTGAAGAACCAAAGCCTTGGTGTCAATGTTCAAGTGATCGCGAGCACCGCGAAAAAAGGGTACACCTCAAGAAAGAAGAGTAGTTACATTACTTTGTATAGTGTTACGTTTCACTAGGTTTAGGCCCTTGTGAAGGGTAGTTTCGAGACCCTTCGTGCTTGGGGACAGTGTGGCACTGTTCCACATCACTGTACCTCAGCTTTTGCGGTTTGTAGGAGCTGGGAGTCATTCCCAACTCGTAACTCTTCCTAATCTTTGTTCTAAGACTTTAGTGGCTGCCATAGTGCTGTTCATTCAAACCAACGCTGTGTTGTCAATACTTGGTGAAATCGTGCGATCTAAATTGCCTATTGTAGGCGACATTAAGACGTTCTAGATCCAAGTTGAATCAGGTCATTTGAAGCTGTGACCAGAACGCTATGAACGTTTAAAGCCACTGTGCAGAAATCCTACTGTGCACTCTATCTTTCGTTTTAGGCACAATGAAGCCTACTGTGTCTATAACATTGAGTTCGTTTACAACAACGCGTCACATGCGGCCACAGGGAAAACTCCTTTCATCCTGTGATACGAACAGGAACCACCCACACCACAGCAGCCAACCACACCAGCACACGTCCAAGCCGCACATGACTTCGTCACCACCATGCAGCAACTATGGGAGAAGACTCAATGACATCTCACCAGGATGCAGAACTCCCAGAAGCGACGCCAGCGACGTGATCACATGATAGCAGTCGAAGATCAAGTACTCCTCTACACACGCAATTTGAACATGTCTCACGTACCATCCAAGCTCCGGCCTTGCTTATGTGGTCCTTTTCACGTTGAGGCACAGGTGACACCAGTAACATTCCGCTTGCGCTTACCTACTGCGTGGAAGCTTCACAATGCTTTCAATGTTCAGCTATGTAAGCCCTACAAGGACCCCAACTAACAGTTTCAGGGACGGCAGCTACCGCCACCACCACCTGTTCTCATACAGGATGAACTAGAGTACAAAGTGGAGCGCATTCTTACTCATCGACGCCGCGGCAGCAAGACCCTCGAGTTCCTGATACGCTGGAAGGCGAAAGGCGAAATAAGCTAATATGGGACAGTTGGGACAGTGGCTGTGGGATGTCGACGTCGCCTCGTGAGTGGAGGCCGCAAGGCAAAATACCTGCTGATGGAACGTGCTGTTTATCGGCAGTTCCTCACTTCACGTGCGAAGGGCCTGCCTGTCTCGGTGGCGCACCTTCAGAAGTGGAGCAGCACGTGGATGAAGCACCGCCTTCCATTGGAGACTTGGAAGGCGTCCTCACAATGGACCTTCCGGTTTCGTCGTCGGTGGTCGCTGGCAAGACGCGACAAGGCCAAACTTGGTCAGAATCTCGCTGATGGTAAGATGCCTTGCCATTTGAATTTCTTTGCATCCGTTTGCCCACTCTACAAGCCGCTCAAACTAACATGTCCATTCCCGTGTTTGTTCACGGCAGATTGCAAGCCAAAAGTGGAGTGATTTTGGCAGTTCGTGCGGCAGATGCGGACGCTGCACGACTACCCACCGAACTTCATCCCGAACGTGGACCAGACGCCGCTCTTCTTAGAGATGCCGTCCGAACGCACGCTCGAGCTGAAGGGGGCACGCACCGTCCACGTGCTCTCGGCCGGCTATGAGAAGGAACGGCTTACCGTCATGCTGGCGGTGACGGCCGGGGGCATGAAGCTGCCGCCTTTTGTCATCTTCAAACGGAAGCACCCCCCTAAGATTCCGATTCCAGAAGGTAAGGAAGCGGCTGTTGTGTAATTTGTTGTTAGTGCAAGGAAGATTGACTATACACAATCGGTTTTTATGTGCGTTGTGCAGGACTTGTGCGCGCACAGGACAAGGGCTGGATGGACGAGGCCAAAGCTCTGGACGACGCAGCTGACGACGAAGAGGGAGCCCTTGGTCCCCGTGGTGGTGAGGAATGGAGTGATGCAGATGACGAGGAGTGGTGGGCTCTAGGCCGCTATGAGGGGGAGGAGGTTGAAATGTGGAATGCAGGTGATGATTAGAGCTAGAAATCATGCTTCTGGCCCCAGGTGCTCTAGACATGACATGAATGGCACCCATGCTAGTTCTAACATGTGTTAGGGGCTGCTCTTGTTGAAATTATTGTTTGAACGTGTAATGAAATTTAACAAGCCCATGAGATCTTCATTGGGAACCCCCCTACAGGGGAGGGGGGGGGGTCTTATATTGTTCACCCCCTTAAAGGGGGGTATAACGAAATTCTTGCTAAATAAACACTCCCCCCCGTATTAGCTACCCGGGGGTGTTTTATTTTGGGGGGGTCTTATATCCGGGGGAATACGGTACAAGGGATTGGGAGGGGGAACAAGAAGAAAGTCAAACAGATAAGAGATTAGAAGAGTGGAGATAGGGGAGACAGGGAAGAGGGGGAAGAGAAGACAGAAGCAGGGGGGAAGAGAAAGGGGGAGATAGGACGATGTGAGAGGGAAAGGGGATAGGAAGAGGGGGGTGAGGGAAAGGAGACAGGAAGAGGGTGAGGGGGAAAGAAGAAAATACCGTAGGAAGAGGGCGGATAGGGAAGAGGGCGGATAGGGAAGAGCGGGAGAGGGAAAGCGGGAGATAGGAAGTTGTAACCAGGGGAAGAAGAGGGGGAAACGAGGGGAACCAGGGGGGGAAACGAGGGGAACCAGAGGTGGAAATCCTGGGAAGCAGAGGGGGAAATGAGGAGAAGCAGGGGGGGGGGGATGAGGGGAAGCAGGGGGGAAGTGAGGGGAAGCAAGGGGGAAAATGAGAGGAATCAGGGGGGGGAATCAGGGGAAGCAGGAGGGTACAGAAGCAGGGAGAAAAATGAGGAGAAGCAGGGAGGGAAATGACGGGAAGCAGGGGAGTAAATGAGGAGAAGCAGGGAGGAAAATGAGGGGAAGCAGGCGGGATAATGAGGAAAAGCAGAGAGGGAAATGAGGGGAAGGAGGGGGAAAAATGATGGGAAGGAGGGGGGGAAATGAGGGGAAGGAGGTGGGGAAATTAGGGGAGACGAGGGGAGGCAAGGGGAAGGGGAAGGGGAGGGAAGGGGAAGGAAGGGGGGAGGGAAGGGCAAGGGACAGGGGAGGGAAGGGGAAGGGATGGGGGAGGGAAGGGGAAGGGACAGAGGAGGGAAGGGGAAGGGATGGGGGAGGGAAGGGGAAGGGACAGGGGAGGGAAGGGGAAGGGATGGGGGAGGGAAGGGGAAGGGACAGGGGTGGGAAGGGGAAGGGATGGGGGAGGGAAAGGGAAGGGATGGGGAGGGAAGGGGAAGGGACAGGGGAGGGAAGGGGAAGGAGAAGGGGAGGGAAGGGGAAGGAACGGGGGAGGGAAGGGGGAGGGATGGGGGAGGGAAGGGGAAGGGACAGGGGAGGGAAGGGGAAGGGATGGGGGAGGGAAGGGGAAGCGACAGGGGAGGGAAGGGGAAGGGATGGGGGAGGGGAGGGGAAGGGGACAGGGGTGGGAAGGGGAAGGGATGGGGGAGGGAAGGGGAAGGGATGTGGAGGGAAGGGGGAAGGGACAAGGGAGGGAAGGGGAAGGGATGTGGAGGGAAGGGGAAGGGACAGAGGAGGGAAGGGGAAGGGATGGGGGAGGGAAGGGGAAGGGATGGGGAAGGGAAGGGGAAGGGATGGGGAAGGGAAGGGGAAGAGATGGGGAAGGGAAGGGGAAGGGATGGGGAAGGGAAGGGGAAGAGATGGGGATGGGAAGGGGAAGGGATGGGGAAGAGATGGGGAAGGGATGGGGAAGGGATGGGGAAGGGATGAGGGGTTGGGAGGCACAAGATGGACGAGGAAAGAGGCGGAGGAGGAGAGTGAAAGGAGTAAGGGTGAGGAAAAGATTACGTGAGAATGCCTAGTGTGATAGGCTGTGGGCCACCACGCATCTATTACTCCCCTGATCCCCCCTCCTCCCTCCCCCCACACTCTACCCCCTCTCAATCCCCCAACAGCCCGTTCCTCCTTGCCCATGCCACCCTCGCTCTTCCTTCTCCCCGACCCCTATCCCCCCCTCCTCTCCACAGTCCCTCGATCTCCAATCCCCAATCTACACTCCACCCATCCTCGCTCTTCACTTTCCCTCCCCCTCTCACCCCCGCACACCTGGCTGTCTAGGTCCCTCCTCGTAGTACTCTCCCATATCGTGTGCAGCCCTATCTGCATGGGGATGGGGGGGAAGCCACAGGGGAGGAGGAACGGGGAATGACCGAGGAAAGGAGAATGAATGGGGGGGGGGGGGGGGGGGGGGAGGCGGAGGGGAAGGGAAGGGGGTGGGGGGAATAGGTTGAAAAGAATATTATGTTCTGTAGAACGGCGCTGCCTGCTGTGGAGACAATGTATCCAGGACTCCCCTACTCTCTTCCCACCACCCTTTTTCCCCGCTCTCTCTCTCCTCTCTCTCCCCATGTCAGCTCTTACCCCTTCCCCTCTCCCACCCTTGCTCTCACACCACACGTCAAACACCTCCCCCACTCGCTCTCTCACCTCTCTCCTCTTCCAGGTCACTCGCACCGCACCTAGCTGCCCAGGTCGCATATGAAGCACACAACCCTCACATTCAGCACTCCTCTTCTTTCTCCCCTCTTCTCACCCTCTCAGCTGCCTTCGCCTCCTTTCGCCCCCTCAGCAAAGGGCGTATAAAGGCAAACGAAGGATAAGTCACTGCTGCTCAGATGCGCTTCTTTCGCCACCTTTGCCGCATCTGACTTCGTGGAGCGTTAACTGTGCGCAGCACGTGAACAGAGCTCCCTCAGATCAGAACTCTGAACGCCATGACGAAGAGAGAAATTACTTTTTGAAGATTTCAACTAAAAGACTAACTTTCCAGGATGAGTGGCAGGTGGTGATAAGATTTTCCAGGCATCTAAAGGTAACTGCTGCAGGCAGTGAGTCTAGTCCTCCACACCCACTCCCTCAAGTGATAAGTTATGTGCAAAGAGCACAGGGAGGAGGGAAGGGAAGGTGGGAGGCGGAAGTGGGATAGAGGTGGAAGAAGAAGGTTACTCTGCTCTCCCCCCCCTTCCCTCCTCCCCCCACCTCAAATCATCATTCCATCTCGGACACAAATCCATCTCCCCCTCTCCGCTGGTGCCTCGCCGCTGCACTCTCGTCGTCGGCTCCCTCTCTCCCCACAGCAGCTGCGTGAGTGGTACGTTGGCCGTCAGGGTCACGCTGCTGGAGCTAGGGGCCCTGCTGCAGGAGGCGCTAGAGCTGGTGACTCGACTACTGGAGTTGTTTCTGCTGGAGGTGCTGGCACTAGTGGCGCTGGAGTTGGAGGTTCTGGAGCTGCTGAGGGTGCTGGCGCTGGAGGTTCTGGAGCTGCTGGAGGTGCTGGCACTGGTGGCGCTGGAGCTGGAGGTTCTGGAGCTGCTTAGGGTGCTGGCGCTGGAGTTTCTGGAGCTGCTGCGGGTGCTGACGCTGGAGGTTCTGGAGCTGCTGGAATTGCTGGCGCTGAGGGTTCTGAGTCTGCTGTTGCGCAGTCTCCTTGGAATAGCCGCCTTCGTCCGCGTGTGCCTCTCACCTCACAGCAGCTGCACGACTTGTATGGTCGCCGTCAGGGTCGCGCTTCTGGACCTCCGGGCTCTGCCGCTGGAGGTACTTCTGCTGACGTCACTGGAGCTGGGAGTGGTGCTGGTCCTGGAGGTGCTCGTCCTGGAGGTACTAGAGCTGCTGGGGCTGGAGGTGCTGCTGAGCCTGAGGGTGCTACTGCTGGAGACCCTGGGTCTGGGGGTGCTGCTGCTGGAGACACTGAGGCTGGAGACCCTGGGACTGGAGGTGCCGGTTCTGGGGGTGCTGCAGCTGGTGGAGCTGGTCCTAGAGGAGCTGGCGCTGAGGGTTCTGGAGCTGCTGGAGGTGCTGGAGCTGCTGCGGGTGCTGGAGCTGCTGGAGGTGCTGGAGCTGCTGGTGCTGGTGGCACTGCACAGCCGCGCCTGTTCTTCGCTCCGCCGTCCCCGTCGTCTCAGCCACCGCCTGACTCAGTGCTTCGCCAGGTTCTTAGTCTCCCTTCGTCTACTCGTCTTCCGTTACAGCCTGGCTCACCGCTGCTTGCTCCTTCTCCTTACACTGAGCAGACAGGGGGTCTTACTGAGCGTCGTGAGCATGCGTCGCGTCCTGTCTTGCCTGCCCGTTCTGGTCATTCCGGTCGTCGTGTTCCTCGTTCGCGTCAGCCGGCTGTCCCCGACACCCACCTCGTAGTCCGTCGTCCTTCCTCTCCTCCGCAGCGTGTTCCCCTGCCGTCCCCTCCTACGTCTTCTCTGCCTACCATTCCTGAGCCTGAGTCTGACCGCACCCGTGCTGCTCACCCTACTGTCACGCGTCTGCTAGCCACAGTTGTCACTAGTCGTTTGAGTTTACTGCTGCGTGTGCCTTAGTCGCTGAGCTTGTTGACTTTGCTACTGCATGTCGTCTAGACTACGCCGCTAGTCTTGTTGCTGAGTCTGAGTCTGTCTGTCCTCCGTCCATCGGGGGTGAGTGTGCTCTTGGCACGGACGTCCTAGAGGACAGGAACGAGGACCTTGAGTGTCTTGCAGCCGCTGTGCCTCATCTCGTGTCCATGCTGCTTGCCCCTAAGGGAGACCCAGATGCTCCAGACATCCCGACCCCACGCTCTTACGCTGAGGCGATCGCGGGTGAGTACTCCTCTCAGTGGCAGACAGCCATGGACGCAGAGATGGCATCCTGGAAGTCCACAGGCACTTACATCGACGAGGTTCCCCATCCTGGGGCGAACATCGTCAGTGGCACGTGGATTTTCAGGGTGAAGCGGCCGCCAGGTTCTCCGCCTGTCTTGAAGGCTCGTTACGTTGCTCGAGGTTCCAGTCAGCGAGAGGGAGTTGACTTCTTCCACACCTTCTCCCCCACCCTGAAGATGACCACTCTTCGGGTACTGCTGCATGTTGCCGCTCAGCGTGACTACGAGCTTGACTCTCTTGACTTCAGCACAACTTTCTTACAGGGCAGCCTGCACGAGGGGATCTGGCTGCGCCGCCCTCTTGGCTTCACTGGGTCGTTCCCTCCTCGTACCCAGTGGAGCCTCCAGCGGCCAGTCTACGGTCTCCGCCAGGCGCCACGTGAGTGGCATGACACACTGAGGACGACACTTGCTGCCCTTGGGTTATCTCCGTCGACTGCTGACTCGTCGTTGTTTCTGCGCACCGACACTTCGCTGCCGCCGTTCTACATCCTCGTGTACATTGACGACTTGGTCTTTGCCTCTGCTGACACTGAGGCTCTCGCCGTGGTGATGTCCGAGCTGCAGAAGAGACACACGTGCACAGACCTGGGTGAGCTGCGCAGTTACCTTGGCTTGCAGATCACCTGGGACAGAGCACGCCGCACCATCACACTGACTTAGTCACACATGGTGCAGCAGGTCCTTCAGCGCTTCGGCTTCACCTGGTCCTCGGCACAGGCCACTCCTCTGGCTACAGGTCACTCGCTCTCAGCTCCACCTTCGGACGAGTCTGTAGAGCCGAGTGGTCCTTACCCAGAGTTAGTGGGCTGCCTCATGTACCTGATGACCTGCACTCGTCCTGACCATGCGTACCCTCTTGGTCTTCTGGCTCGCTACGTGGCTCCTGGTTGGCACCGAAAGGTGCACATGGATGCTGCTAAGAGGGTACTACGCTACTTGTGCAGTACATTGGGCATGGGGCTCGTGCTTGGAGGACGTAGTGACGTTGTCCTCTCTGGGCACTCAGACGCTTCTTGGGTTGACGACCAGGCTACGCAGCGGTCGTCAGAGGGTTACACCTTCAGCCTTGGCACAGGTTCAGGTTCTTGGCGTTCTACACGCTCGTCTTCAGTTCTCAGCTCCTGTTGTGAGGCTGAGATCTACGCCACAGCCATGGCTGCACAGGAGTTACGCTGGCTCACCTACCTGCTGACCGGCCTGGGAGAGCGGCCTCGTTCTCCTCCAGTGCTGTACGTCGACAACAAGGCCACCATTGCCTTGTGTGAGGAGCACAGACTGGAGCACAGAATGAAGCACATCGCTCTGCGTTACTTCCTGGCTTGAGAGTTGCAGCAGCGTGGTCAGCTTTGTCTTGCTCACGTGGCCAGTCGGGCCAACACTGCTGATATATTCACCAAGGCACTTCCGTCTGGTGATCCTCAGCGTTTCTGTACTTTATTAGGCCTTGTGCCCACTTTTCCTCACTGGCTGTAGACTTTGCTTGTACTGTGATCTATATATATATCTGCATGCTTGCTCTGCTAGGTAGAGATCACTGTGCTGTTGTTATTGCATATATACCTCTGCATGTAAACTGGCCTTGTGGCCCTTTGCTTGTGCTGAGTGTGTGTGGTGATGTTGTGATCCACCCTGAGCTTGCTTTGCTTCTCTTGACTGGTCTTGTGACCCCTTGCTCTCCCCCAGTTTGCCTATGGGGGTGTGTCAAAGTATATGCATGTTACATATGTGTAGGCTGTAGTGGGGTAGCCAATATGGGGTACAGCCCCTTTTAGGGTTTCATAATTGTACCCAACTCTTTCATAGTTGATCCATTCATACTACTAGATTCTAACACGCACAGCTGCCGCTTTCCAGTTCTTAACGAACCAACTCCGAACGCCATGGCGAAGAGAGAAGGTACTTCGTAAAGCTTTCGAAAGAATGACTAACTTTGCTTCCCATAACCTCTGGCTTCCACCGGGGCCGCTATTATTAGACCCAGCAACGCGATCGTTGATCGGAAGGTTCGAGACCCTCCCAAGCTAACCTGAGCTCACCGAGACTCTCGGCCAAATCTCTCATGGCCAGTTGTCGTTGCGCATTTGCAGGTGTTGCGACAATGACTCGCAGTGAAACCTGTACGTCATAAGCCATGGATTTTGTAAAAAAAACACTCATTATCGAGTGGAGGGATGTAGAGTTATTCTTCACCAATGTTAGACGGGTGTTTACTGTTCCCTTTGAACATTACTCCCAACCCCATCCTTATCCTTATCTTTTCAGATTTCTTAGTGCCACGTGGCACTCTACCTTTCTTGCTTCTACTTTCTAGTCCCACGAAGTACTTTCCGACATTCGACCCTGCATGCTTATCATCCTTGCTTATATGCACCAATGAAAACCAATTTTCATTCAGCTCTTCTTCAATTACTCAGTAACTTCTTCGCCTATTTCGCCAATAGTTCTTTCGCCAAAGTCTTTCGCCGCTTTTCATCCTCGACTTAGTTGACCTCGCTAATCTTTAGCGGATGTAGGCCAGCGGGCCTAACACTTGGTATCTAGAGTCTTCGTGGGGAGCGACTTCCAACGAGCGACCGTCGACGACGAGACTACGACGTCATCGTCCCGCGGTGCCGACTTGCAGACTTGGAGTCGTCAAGCCAACATGGACGAGACCATGAACGCTCTCCCCCAAGACATGGGCAACGCGCTTGCCAAGCTCATGCGCCAACTCGAGCAGCTGACGCTGGAAAATCGCCAGGCATGGGACGAAATGCAACAACTTCGTAATTTGGCTTCTAACCCTCATGGCCTTGCCGTACCAACTCCTGCACCCACCACGTCGACTGGCGCGGAAGCGCTG